TTCAGTATCATCAATCATCGTATCCTTTTGGGTAACTATGGGAACTGGGTCTGGACAGCACAGTTTTGTGCTGATTTGGCCCCTTTCTCAATGGCCAGTCCCAACTGGTATTGATAGGGTTAAAAGTCCAGCCCACAAATGCTCCTTTGTGGCATGTCACAGAGCTAAGTTCACTCCCCATTCCTTTTTAACATCTACATGGATCTGTTAAGTGAAATCATCTGCCATCATGGGTTGAGATCATCAGTATGCTGATGATACCTAACTTTATATTTCTATTCCAGGGGTGCTGTTACTGCTGGAGGATGAGATAGCATGCCCCAGACAGGCAGTTCTTTTTCATGGCTCAGCAGTTTTTGCCTCAATCACTCAGGCCCTGGTCAACTTTTCCCTGTACTATGCAATGCACTCTATATCGGGTTCCCCTTAAAGAGCATTCATAAGCAACTTCTGGCTCAAAATGTGACTGTGTGAAAAATACTATGATAGCCCATATAACATCTTTGTTATGTGAGTAATATTAACTGTCAGTTTGCTTCTGGGTCCAATTCAAGCTATTAGTTATTACATATAGACTTCTTTATTGCATGGTTCATAGCTATCTGAGGAACTCCTCTTGTGCCAGCAGAAAAAGTAAGTTGCAGATTCCATTGGTCAAGGAATTTCAGCTGTTGTGGTCTAGGAGATGAATGTTTTCTGCTGTGGTATCTGTCCTGGGCACTGCACACCAGAATAACTAGACACAAGGACAGTTTTTTCCCCAAATGCCATCAATCAGCTTAACAGCTAATTCCCACAACTCTGTCAATAATTTACTAAGAATATTACTATTATTCTTCTTTTCCTGCCTAGTAACTATCTCTCCCCACTTATGACTTGTATCTTTCAATTTAAATTGTTTTTATTTGTTTCCTAGTACGATTTGATGGCTTATTAGTAACTTTAACTATCACTAAGTGTTGTATCTTTTTATTCTTGATGAATGTATTTTATTCTCCTTATGTACACTGAGAGCACATGCACCGAAGACAAATTCATTGTGTGTCCAATCACACTTGGTCAATAAAGAATTCTATTCTATTCTATCATACCTTGCAAGGTGACTTCTGCCTTCAACCTTATGGCTTTCCTTACTATCTTAAAACTTGCTGATTGACCTGGGACCCGGACAGGGGCATGCCATAATGGAGGTGGTTATTGGATTAGAATATCTCACCTGCACTCTATTGCATACTCTCCACTATCTTAGCTCTTTTCTTGTTATTTTTATTCTATTGTCTTATTATTTAAAGCTTTTATATTGTTTTTATCAGATTTGAAGTCACGTGTCAGCAAGATGGGCTGCAAATAAAATTATTAAATAAATAAAATAATACATTGGAATAGTTTTAGTAACAGTTGTATCACTATGCCACATCAATCTTCTGTCAGATCTTCCTGTGCATCCTTATCTAGCAGGGGAAAGGCCACATCAAATACTACTATAATATGTGAATTTCCATCACAGATTTCAATTATCTCCAATAGATTTGCATTTTATTGAATCAAAATGGCCCCACCTTGATTCTTGGATTTAAGGTGTTGAAGCAGAGAAGCTCAATGTTTTCCAGAATTCTCAGATGGAATGATGCATTAATTTTGGAAATATTGATAACACTTGGGTGAGACTTGGAGATGAGAAATGCCCAAGTGAGGGTATTTCTTGTTTGCCTATTATTCACATGCAGACATATTTTGCTACCTCAGAATTACAGGGCTCTATGTGTGTCCTGGCCATTTTGTGGAAAATGAGCCTTAAACATTTGAAATTTTTTACTGGTTACCCTATTGTATGTAGAAGGAAAAAAATTGGTATGTGAGCCTGCCAACAAATAGTGCATGCAAGAAAAAAAATGAGGCCGATGATGACTAATCTTGGGGTCATACTGGAGGCTCCGAATATCAGATAGAACCTTGTCACACTAAGTTACACCATAACAATGAGAATTATAATTTATTTATAATAATAAATTATTTATTTATTATTATAAATAATATATTTAAATATAAATATTATTAATATTATTAAATATTTATATTTAATAAATATTAAAAGGTTAATATTTTTTGGAAAAAAACACCGAATTCAACTTGATATTAACTTGATTTTTTTTGTGACCATAAAATGCTTACAAATTACTATTTAATGGTTTAGCATTAAATGTAAGAATGTAAATGCATGTCTTAATACTGAGAATTACTATTTAATCCCTTTAATTTGCATAACAGTTTCTTCAAAATGGTGCAGTAACAGTCATTATTGACTTCAGGCATCCATTTGAGCGTACTTTCTATGTTATATTGTTTTGCTTTGGATAGTGTGTGTACCTGTAACTCTGTCTTAGGTGCAGGCAATATAATAGATGTGGCAGACAGTGTTGGAGAAGCAGGTTTCCCATGAACACTCCTCATCTTCTTTTCAAAAGCAGTGAAGGTTATCTTGAACCTTACTGTTGAATAGATCTGGGTGAATGTTAGTTGTGATACTGTAGCATAGATTACACAGCTCTAACTGCAGTGCCCTGAAATATGTATATTCAAGTGTGACTCATAGCCACAATTATTACTAGGATCAAAATGCAGAGTTCTGGGCCTGCATTGCAATAGCATTAGTGAATGGTATAGCCTTAAGGCACAGAATATTCTCTTGTTTTCAATTAAAAGTTCCATATCCAATTGGTCATCTTCAGTTTTTGGAACATATTTGGTTCCATTCGGTTCATATAAGTCTGAAGTTGCTTTCGTATCGTGGAAAAGAGACATTGTTTCGATATTCACATCAGTGGTATGATTCAAATTACTACTGGTTCTGTGGGCGTGGCTTGGTGGGTGTAGCAGAGGAAGGATACTGTAAAAATCTCCATTCGTTCCCAACTGCAGGGAAAGGATACTGCAAAATCCCCATTCCCTCCCAATTAGCTGGGACTCAGGAGGCAGAGAATAGATGGGGGAGGGGCCAGTCAGAGGTGGTATTTACTGGTTCTTTGAACTACTCAAAATTTCCACTACTGGTTCTCCCGAACTGGTCAGAACCTGCTGAATACCACCTCTGCTGCAGATCCTGTCAACTAAAGAGTGTCAATTGAAAGGAACTAGAAGGCGAGCTTGTTCTGCTGTAGCCCCTGCCTTACAGAATATTTTCCCTTTAGAGATTAGAATGGTCCCAACCCTGTTGCCCTTTCTCAAGGCTTTAAAACTTGGCTATGAATCAATGCATGGGACTAAGAAGATATAAAGGCCCTGTTATTTGTCTTTACTTTTAGTTGATTAATTATTTTGGCTTGTGTTTGTCTTTATTTTCTGGATATTTTTACTGTTTATTGTTTTCAAGTGTTTTATAATTATAACTTTATAATCCATGAGAAAATCTATGCTGTGTTCAATAAATGAATTACTTTAAGCCACCCAGAGGCCAGTTGTTTCGCCGGATTTGGCATTGGTTACTAGTCGGGCCCCACCCAGGGGCCTAGG